TAAAAATGGAAAAGCCCCTGGAGAGGATGGTGTTACAACAGAACTCTTGAAAGCTGGAGGTAAACCCGTACTGAGGGAGCTCCAAAAGCTTTTTAACACTGTCCTGTTCGAAGGGAGAACTCCGGAGATGTGGAGTAGGAGTGTGGTCGTCTTGTTCTTTAAAAAGGGGGACAAGACCCTACCCAAGAACTATCGACCCATATCCCTTCTAAAAGCGAAGACTTGATGACTTCCAACCACCGGAACAGGCTGGGTTTCGGAGCGGATACGGCACCATAGACCACATCCACGCAGTACGGCAGATTATACAGAAGACTGAAGAGTACAATCAGCCTCTGTGCCTAGCATTTGTGGACTATGAGAAGGCCTTTGACTCGATTGAAATCTGGTCTGTCCTGGAGTCCCTGCAGCGTTGCCAAGTCGACTGGCGATACATCCAAGTGATTAGATGTCTCTACGAAGCCGCCACCATGTCTGTCCAAGTACAGAATCAGCAAACAAGTCCCATACCGTTGCATCGTGGAGTGAGACAAAGGGACGTTATTTCCCCGAAATTGTTCACTAATGCACTGGAGGATATGTTCAAGACGCTGAACTGGAAAGGACATGGCATCAACATCAATGGCGAACGCATCTCTCACTTGCGATTTGCAGACGATATCGTCATCATGGCAGAAACCCTGCAGAACCTACAAAAAATGCTGAATGACCTAGCTGACTCTTCTATACGCATCGGCCTACGGATGAACTTGGATAAAACCAAGGTCATGTTCAATGAACATGTTCTACCGGAACCGATTGCAATACACGGTGCGGTTCTCGAAGTTGTTCAAAAATATGTATACCTCGGGCAGACATTGCAGTTAGGTAGAAACAACTTTGAGGACGAGGTGAATAGAAGAATTCGGCTGGGCTGGGCAGCGTTTGGGAAGCTACGTCAAGTCTTGACATCGTCGATCCCACAGTGCCTAAAGACGAAAGTATTCAATCAGTGCGTCCTACCTGTAATGACATACGGAGCCGAGACGTGGACACTGACGGTACGGCTGGTCCACAGGTTCAAAGTCGCTCAGCGCGCTATGGAAAGGGCTATGCTCGGCGTTTCTCTGAAGGATCGCATCAGAAATGAGGTAATCCGACAGAGAACCAGAGTTATCGACATAGCCCACCGGATTAGTAAGCTGAAGTGGCAGTGGGCTGGCCATATTTGCCGAAGAACCGATAACCGTTGGGGTAGACGAGTTCTGGAGTGGAGACCGCGTCTTGGCAAACGTAGTGTAGGACGTCCTCAGGCAAGGTGGAGTGACGATTTGCGCAAGGTGGCTGGCAGGAGCTGGATGCGAGTAGCCCAAAATCGATCTGAGTGGCGTGCAATTGGAGAGGCCTATGTCCAGCAGTGGACTAGGATAGGCTGTTGATGAATTTCAATAATACTAACATTGGCCCCCACTGGGATGCGAATCTGGGACCACTGAGTAGGCGACGGAACGATAGGAATATTTTACCAAACTTGCTCTGGGTCTAGATTGGACTATCTAGATAAGTCAGACCGGTAGGTCTGATTGTCAATTGATATCTGCAGCAGATATTTTTTTGGTTTTGGTAAAATTTACCAAGATGTAACAACTTTCCTCAATCACATTGTCCTGCTTTAATATTTTCTTAACATTTTAAATGTATAAACACCTACCTTTATTTTCTTTATCTTCTCGGGGATTACTTGTTCATTATTAAATTTGTGCAGCAACCTTATTTCTCCATGTTAATTATCTGCTTTGCAAACTTCAACAATATCAGACCATTTAGCAATTATCCATTCATCCAATGTAATTTAAGTGTTTTGTTAGGAATTTATTTCTCAAGCCTTTTATTAAACGAAGAGGATCATATAACAAATAATACATGACCATCAATAACTATTGTATCATCTAAAATTAATAATTAATATTAAATGATAATTACATTTAATTGTGCCATTGTGCTAACAGAATGGAGGAGCTTGATGGTGTAATATTACTGTGTTCTGTCAGTAATTATGGAAATAAAGCAATATCAAAAATTTGCAGTTCCTCTGTCTTGGTAGATTATGCTGTTGTTTTTGGCATACTTGATAGTCGGACTCCCTACTAATTGAATTAAGAACTAGATTTTACCGGTATTCTTTCTTGCAATTATTTGATCAGTATGTGTTTCCTCTTGAAGATATTTCAAAGTTGATTGAAATGATGTGCCTTGATCACAAATTAAATCTATTGGTTTGAGTCCAGTATTTCCAACAGCTTCCACCATCTCCTTAACAATATTTTATGTTTTAATTGTAAGGTACAAATTGCACCTTTACAAAAATAATATGCCAAAGGCTGTTGCCAATTATCAATTGCCCCACACAATATAAACACTAGTGCACGGTCTGCAAATTCAGGGATTTATTTATCCAGCTCAACAAAGCCATTTATCCCTGTTTTATAAAGACTGCTCCTTAGAAAATTTTATTGCACTTTTAGCCCGTTGGCAATATGACAACTGCCTTTTAGACGGGCAAAAATATTTGTACAGCCTGGAACAGTTCGGTGAAAGATTTTTCTTAATAAAAATCACATATCCTTTTTCAGATAGACATGGTTTATTTAAAACATTGAGATCTGTTAAAAAAAATATATAGTTAAAACTAGCCAATTCTATTCACTATATTCTCATAGGATTTTTAAAGGTTACTTCTTACCTGTTCCAATTGAATTTGTTTTTGTTTCCTCAATACCAGCAATAACCACAGGATCTTGCTGATCTGTTTGATGCATTAAGCTTACAGATTGGACAGCATACGTACCTTAAGACAAATGATGACATTAATAACAAAGTTACAATAAAGTAATTTCAAAATTTTAAATATTTGATGTTCATCATATTTGATTTATTAGGTTTTTATCAGTCTGGGGTACACCAGCTTGTTGATTGAAATGATGTAAGACGCGGCGATGGCACAAAAACCTCCATTCAAAATGTTTTTGGCACAAAAAACTCTTGCGAAGTGTTTGTACACAATCGCTTCGTAAAAAGCTACTTCTCCAGTATTATCTCACTCATACGAAAACTAAAAAAAAATGCGTCCTTTCGCTTTCTATCACAATTTCTACACAGCACCTCAGACCAAATTTTTATTTGGTCTGAGCACAGCACATGTTGTAAATGTTAAGTTGAATTGACAGGATAAGTTACGGAAATAAATTAACGCAAAACTTCACTGAACCAATTTTATAAACTTAATGGTGGGAGGAGAGGGTAGGCAGGGGACGAGGTTAAGTTTTGACATTGAATGTTCTATTCTATTTTTTGTAAAGGCTAGCTGTTGTCTCCTTAGACAATTCTGCCAATGTCAGGGTTGAGTACTACAGATGATCAGTTTTTTTTTGCAGTTTTACGCATCTTCCGACATTGAATGTTCATGAAGTATGAAGATTGGGGGTGAGTAACGAGTAACTGTCATCACAGACTGTCATGTTTTCTATATATAACAATGTACTCTATGCTGTCATGTTCTATATGAGAGCTCCAGACTTATGGTGTAAATTTTTTTTTTAGAAATAATCAGTGTAGTTAAGCAGGGTGGCCATAGTGGCAGCAGGCAACCTGCTTAAACTACACTGGTGTCAATTCTGACACGATTCTCTAAACCTAAACTTAAATTTGACAACAGTGTATCCTTGTCATTCTCTATACGGAATGAAAAGGAGAGATTGATGTTAAATTTAGTTTTAAGTTTAGAGAATCACGCCAGCATCGACACCACTGTTTATTTCTCGCGCTTGATTTCTGAGTCTGAATCTGAGTGCACTGTGGCCGTACCCTAATATGACACCCCGTGGTTGACACTCTTTCCAAGTTCACTTTAAATCTAGATATTTCTTTAATTGTATTGGACTTACTTTTACTTGTTAAAGAAAATATGGTTAAACGTTAAAATGTTCGACTAGATTGGTCAAAGGAAAATGGTTAGAGCAAATTCTTTCCATTCCATGTACTAACGTATGGTATGAGAAACATAAAAAAAAAATTGGGTAGAAGTTTCATCTCCATTTTGAGTCGGTTAAGAATTGGTCACAGCCGAATTCCTTCTCATCTCCATCGTTTAAAACTCAGGGAAGCTGCCAGTTATCCTCACTGTGATTCACTTTTTTGTGATATTGACCATATTTTATTTTTTTGCCGAAAATTTTCAATACAGTGTTTATTACTTATATTTTTTTGAAAATGATATTCTTTCCTCTACACAAAGATTACTTACCAATATTAACACGTATTATCATATTTATAGTTTTATTGAAAACATCTTTGGTCAAATTTAGTTCTTTTTTGGTTATTGTGGTGTATTATATTTTCCTTTGTTTTCTTCTGGATTGTATGTTAAACGCGTTTATTTTTTAAATTTATAACAAAATGTAGGTATTATTACTAATGTAAATTTGTACCATTGTAGTATAATTCTCTTTTGCTGATGGCCCTGCTGCCAAAGCTCAATAAATGAAAAAAAAACTGAGTTTTTGGCGGGATTTCATCGAGTGCGGTTAGCGTCTTATTTTAATTATTCTTAAATTGTGAAATAAAATTGGTGTGATTTTGTGTTACAACTGAAGAATTTGTGGAATCTTTAAAATATACGCTATTCCGGTCAAATGGACGTGAGAATTTTATTATAGTGTTGACTACCTCACAGAAGCTTACCGAAAAAGCCAACTCCATACATTTCGTGCCAAATACTCCAAGAAACATTAGAATGAGTCACACCGATATTCTAATATAAAAAAATAAAGATTAATAAAACTAAGGATTTGGCTGTATGGGCATTGTTCCCTTTTCCTTCCCTGACAAGGGAGAATCTAAAAAAAATATTTAAAAGAAACAGTGTTGGTTGGTGGTCGATTAGCTCCGTGAAATTATTGGTTTTTACGAAATCGGGGGCGGATGGCTGCTATCTGGATTCGACATTGACACAAAAAGCAACCATGGCTATGTCTAAAGGATTTAAAGTTTTAGAGAAGGCAACCCCACCCAATCCCTATAGTATTATTCTGCAGCATAGGAATAAAGATAGTGCTCTCTTGTTTGAGTCTCAAGCTGTGGTTGCACTTTCATCTCAAGAAACAGAAACTCTACGAAAGCAATACCACAAGATCGCTGACGCATACGGCTGCCTTGGCGTCCTCCAACTAAACTCGGGTGAAAGCTGCCTGTTATATCTCGTTCTTGTTACGGGCTGCTGCTCTGTCGGTAAAGTTGGCGATGGCGAAGTTTTCAAGATTACACAAACTCAATTTTTACCATTGTTCTATCAATCGCAAGGTGAAGACAAGGTTTGCGAGGTAAGAAAACTGCTTAATTCGGGTACTTTCTATTTCTCTTGGAACACAGTCAAAAACAATGATAACCTTTTTGATCTCACACTATGCGCTCAAAGAAAAAGTAAAAGTAGTATCCCTGATAATAGATTCTTCTGGAACAGAACTTTATTTATTCATTTGCTGAGATTTGGAATTGATTGTGACGACTGGCTTACTAGGGCAATGTGTGGTTCTGTAGAAATTCGAACTATTTATGTTGGCCACCGTCAAGCAAGAGCTGTTCTTGTCTCACGTTTGAGTTGTGAAAGAGCTGGAACAAGATTCAATGTGAGAGGCTGTAATGATGATGGCAATGTTGCTAATTTTGTTGAAACTGAACAAGCCATTTATATTGATGATTCAGTGGCATCTTATATTCAAACTCGTGGTTCAGTTCCTCTATTTTGGGAACAACCAGGAATTCAAGTTGGCTCTCACAAAGTAAAGATGTCTCGTGGATATGATGCATCAACGAGTGCTTGTGATAGACATTTCTCTCTCTTAAAGCGTAATTATGGGTCTGTATTTGTTGTGAATCTCTTGGGATCGAGTCTAATTGGTGGAAGTGAAGGTGAGGCCACTCTCAGCAATGCTTTTCAAAAACATCTCGGTGAATCTGCTCATGCTGACGTTGTACAATTAATATTTGATTATCATCAGGAGGTTCGAGCGACATCAATAGAATCAGCTTTGGCTAAATTTAAGAAACTTATTGATAAACATTATGACGATATTGGTATATTTAGTGCTAAAGGAATAGATATATATAATATTCAAAAGGGTGTGATTCGTACCAATTGTCTTGATTGCTTGGACAGAACTAATTCAATACAAACTTTTATAGGCTTGGAAATGTTATCTGTGCAATTAATGTTATTGCAATGTATTGATAAGAAGCAAAATGTAAATAGATTTGAAGAAGTTTTTAAGCAAATGTGGGTCAATAATGGCAATGAAATTTCAAAAATTTATGCTGGAACTGGTGCTATTCAAGGTGGATCTAAACTAATAGATGGAGCAAGATCTGCTGCACGAACCATTCAAAACAATTTGTTAGACAACTCGAAACAAGAAGCTATTGATATATTATTACTGGGTTCTACATTAAATTCAGAACTTGCTGATCGTACAAGAATACTGTTACCAGCGAATATACTACATACATCAACTCCAATACTCAGAGAAATGTGCCGTCGAGCAAATGAATTTACACAGCCGACCAGTATACGTATCACTATTGGTACTTATAATGTTAATGGAGGAAAACATTTTAGAAGTTTAGCTTACAAAGATGTTTCTCTAGCTGATTGGTTATTAGATTGCCCTACTTCTTCTCTTGTGAATACTGTAAATCTTAAAGATCATCCTTCTGATATATTTGCTATTGGATTTGAAGAAATAGTTGATTTGAATGCAAGTAATATTATGGCGGCTAGCTCTGATAATGCCAAAGCCTGGAGTGAAGAATTGGAGAAGGTTTTATGTCGCGATGCCCCTTATACTCTCCTCTCAACTCATCAGTTGGTTGGAGTGTGTTTGTTTGTTTTTGTTAGGAAAGATTTAATTCCCCATATTAGAGATGTTGCACTTGATTCTGTTAAAACAGGACTAGGAGGAACCACTGGCAATAAAGGAGCAGTTGGCATTAGAATGGTTATATATGGATCTTCTATCTGCTTTGTGTGTGCTCATTTTGCTGCTGGGCAATCACAAGTCACTGAACGAAATGCTGATTATACTGAAATTACAAGAAAAATTGCATTTCCAATGGGCAGATCTCTATATTCACATGATTATGTGTTTTGGTGTGGTGATTTCAATTACCGTATAGACCTGGATAAAGACGAAGTACGTTCTTTAGTAGCACAAAATAATATGCAACGATTAGTTGAACAAGATCAACTTATTCAACAGAAAGCATTAGGATTGGTTTTCAAAAATTGTTTTGAGGGTGAAATAACATTTCCCCCTACATATAAATACGATCTTTTCAGTGATGATTATGATACGAGTGAAAAGTGTCGCGCACCTGCTTGGACAGACAGAATCCTTTGGAGAAGTAGAAAATATACAATTGACCCAGAAACAACATCAGAATTAGGTGCAGGAAAGTTGCTTTTCTATGGAAGAGCAGAACTGAAGCAAAGTGATCATCGGCCAGTGATAGCAATTTTAGAAGTTGAAGTATTGCAAGTTAGTTACACAAAATGCATGGAGGTATTTTATGAAGTTGTAAAAGATCTGGGACCACCAGATGCAAGCATTATTGTTCAACCATTTGATGAAAATGATAGTGATGAGTCTGTATTTGATGATAATGTAGTGGCTGCAGTTTTACAGGAGTTGGCTACAATTGGTGAAGTGACACTAGTTCGATTTATCGATGACCACACATTAAGTATCACATTTCGAGAAGGGCAGAATGCCTTAGCTGCAGCACAAAAAGGCCAAATGTATGTTTGTTCTATACCACTGGCTATTACTTTAAAATCACCTAATTGGGTTGAAATAGTACGTTCTGAAATAAATCTGTGTTCTAACAACACAATGCCTCTATCTGGCGAAATTCAATTAGATCGACCACTGAGATCAGCTCCACCCACACCTCGTAGAGTTCAACCCAGTAGGCCGCCTGCACCTTCGCCAACTCCCTTGGTGCCTTCAAGGGTAACAGCTCCTCCAGTGAGTCCCGCTCGGCCACCGCCACCGCGACCTGCACCTCTTCCTCCCGACACTGGAAAAACGACAGGTCCGTCACAGATGCCGTCGTCGCCAGCTGACAGTACACTCCCGCCATCTGACACTACGCCCCCGCCATCTTGTGCTCCTCCGCCATCTTGTGCTCCGCCGCCGCCTCCGCTCAGTGAGACTCCACCGCCCACGGGGCCACCTCCACCCGTTCCCGCAAGGCAAGGAGCGCCTCCTCCACTGCCAGCAAGGCCCCGTCCGGCAATATAAGTTTAATAACATTTGTATCTTTGTAAATTAATGTGCAATCATATCTCAACATTTTTTCTGTTCTGAAACATGTTCCTGTTCTATTTTAGCTATTTATTTTGTGCTGATTAGATAAAAAAAATATTGTAAGATATTAGCTTTATATGTTAAACAAATCAATAGGTCCATTGTATTACGATAAGCGTCTAATGATATAAGCGTCAAGTTGATGTAGATTTTGGAATGATTTTCTAAACTGAAAAACGAAATTTAACATCAGTCTCCTTTTAATATGTAGGTATAGAGAATTCCAAGAATAAATGGTTTTCAAATTTAAGTTTAGATTTAGAGAATCATGCCAGGATCGACACCATTGTCATTCTCTGGCATGATTCTGGCATGATTTTTAAGTTTTCAATTTAATTTACTGAATAATCGTTTTATAATGAAAATCAGACAGAGAATATTTTTTAGTTTAGAGAATACCCATTAGATACCATGACAAAAACAACTATGAACCTAAAAATACCCATATATGGCTAGCACATTATGTTGTTTTTTCGGTAGTTAAGTACATAATACTAAAATACTGAAGGATATCAGCCTGTCTGTAATTTTGTTTGTTTATTGCAAAAATGATATATTTCATATTATATTAACTAATTTATTTATTTATTTAAATAGGTGCATTCAGTATCTACGATTCATATGATAGAAAAAGAATCAATTACATCGTGTAGGTAAATATCTGTCTTTATTTTAGATATTTAAGTACTTAACATGTACTTACCATAAAAATATAAAATAGACTACAGTACGATAAGCTCAGATTAAAGAGCAAACGGCAGATGGATAGTATGGAACACGCAAGTGCGTTAGTACGCTTCAACGCGTCGTGTTGTGAAGACTTTCCGTGAATATTAAGTTTTTATTAAGCAATTCCCGCGGGGGGCGACTGGGAATAAAGGAACCCTACCTTGTTTACATATACCGTCTTGTTGTTCAAACATTGTAAAAACTGTTCACAAAGATAAAAAAGGAAGATGAATAAGAGGAATTTTGCAATTATATTTCTAATCATCAGACTGTACCTTAAATCTAATGTGGCGAACATCAAAAAATGTGATGACGAAGTTTTTTATGCTTTCCAACAATATGGGTATGAAATGAAGAGACTAGCTGTGTATATGAGGTTTTTGAAGTTCTCGATTATGTCCATCGATAGCTGAAAAGTCAAAAATAAATTAAAAGTAAAAAACTTGTTTAAACACAAGTTCTTATTTGAATGCTCTAAAAAGAATAAAATAAAATTTTCTTTTAAATCTTTTACTATGAACTTCTAACGTCATTACACAATTTATATAAAAGCTTGTCGCCAGATTTTTAAGTGTTAAGTTTGCTGCTAATGCTAACTCGGAACACAAAACCTCGACCCAAGATGACTTAGGTTGCACTGAATTTGAACCCTCTTTAAAGGGTAAATATAGGGCTTTGGAGGATTGTTTTATTTACTCCAAAACATGGAACTAAAAACACAAAAAAACATAAATTATGTTTCAGCGTGTTATCTGCCTTTGTACTTTAAACTGAGGGCACCACGATAACTCCAATAATATAAACAAAATTACGGTTATTATCCATATTAAAACTAAGTCTTAAAACACTTCCTTGGAACATGCGATCTAATTAAATTATTTAAACACTAAGTAATTTTTTAGGTAGCTAATTAACTCTTCTAGAAAAATAGATATAATGTTTTGGACATCGAACAAAATAGACTATCCTTTATACATAAACTGTTAATGATTTTTAAGGACCAGTTTAGCAAAAATTAATCGATGTTATTTGCTACTGTTAGGTTAGCATTTTAGCATTTGCTTTAGCATTTGTCATAATAATATTTTATTTCTGTTAAAATACATTTAGTGGGTATTCCTACAACACTATACTTATTTAATTATGTTATGCATATAGTTTATGGCTGTGTTAAGCATTTTCTAAATCGAATTAAAAAACAGGCTCACATAACCTATTAAATATACCTACTTACTTTTTCTCCGAATAAAAATAAATAAATATAAGTACTTACTTTTGCCATAAATATTGTTACAAGGACAAATCTATTTTTTATATTTGTTGCTTAGGATATCTCGTACACCACTCATGAAATAAAACAAGCTCAAACGAGTTATATGCGTAGAATTTAATAATTGATAATTCTGACGACGCAGCCTGAAAAGGATGCGAGACGTCAAGGGACATAAAAATTACCGCATTTAAATTATATAACTCTCTTCCTAAACATATTAAAGAAGCAAAATCAATATCCGCTTTCAAAACCGCATTAAAATTGTACTAAAAAAAAATGGATGCGTGTAACTTATGTACGCGCGTGAGAAGTTATACTTCTTTAGCATCATTAAAAATATTTTTTAATTGCATGCAAATAATTAATAATTACAATAAAATAATAAAAGGACTGGAAAAGGATAGTTAACACAGTCAATTAAGTTCAGTTTTAATTTGAAAAATTAAATAAATATTCAAATAAATAAAAAATAAATAAATATTGAATTTAAGTTATTAGTCTATATTATGTAATTAGCACTTGTAAGTAACTAAAACACGTTGTGTCTATATAGAAACTAGAAACATGTGGATAAATATTATAAATATGAAAACAGTGATCAGAGGCGACGAGCGTGCCAACATTGTTTTTGACAACGCGATCATCTTATGGAGCTCCGTGGATCGTTCAAAGTACATTTCGAACAGATGTCACTAACATTCATAACGCGCCCGCGGCCAACTTCATGGTGTTACTTTACTGTTACAGTGTTGCGCGCGCATCTTAAAATTTCACTCTCATCATTTTTTCATAACGCGCCCGCGGCTAACTTCATTATGTTACTTTTGTGTTACAGTGATGCGCGCGCATCTTAAAATTTCACTCTCATCATTTTTTCATAACGCGGCTAAAGAAGTATAACTTCAAAAATAATATATAATAATTAAAGAAAATTAATATAGTTGTCGAAAGTAAAAATATTTACCTGTAAAATATATGTTTAATAAATAGAAATAAAAACTTTCGCGTTTATAATATTAGTAGGAAGTAGGATTTAGAGTTACAATACAAGAAAATGTTATTCAAAAAAATCCCGAAATAAAAAATAATGACTTATTATTATCACTACCTGAGCTTAGAGTCACCACCAGCAAAATCTATGTTTTGTTTACCTTCTTGCTTTTGTCATCGGTCGCCCGTGATCGATGTCTCATTGCAGTGCGGTGATGCGGCATAATCTGTATAAATATTGTAATGTGAATGTTGTATGTAATTTTTTTGGGAAACTGGTGTTTCTAGTGTTATTGTTGTATTGTGTAGTGTATTGTTATGATTTGTCTCTGTAAATTGTTTTCTGGAAAACTATTGTATAATAGTATAGTATAATAGTCTCACCACGTAAGTAAATTTTATGTAAATTCTTTTGAGGTTAATAAATTTCTTAAACCTTAAATACCGTGGTTAAGTACAACAGTAGTTAACGCTGAAAACTGCTTAAAAATATTGCAAAATTGTCTTGGCGTTGGCAAGTAAATGAGAAAACATAATGAATATTCACAGAATAGAAGAAACTTTGTTTTTTTTATTGTAACAGTATTTATGGCCAGACTAAGTATTAAGTATTTGAATCGCATTTAAATCAGGCTCGGGAAACATTTTATATTTATAAGATTTAGTTATTTTAAATAAATTATTTAAATACAAAAATCAGGGTCAGCAATTATCCTATTTAGAAAGTAAAATAAAATAATATCATGCAGTAGGTATAAATATTTTCGCAGTGATATCTCGTCTAATCAAAAAAATGATTTTACTTATTTTATGACTATAATGTAATATAATTATGTTTTTTTACTATTTAAATGTTATAGTTGTAGAATTCCAGTTAATTTCAATAAAAGCTTTAATAAAGACCACTTACACCAAGAATCTTAAATAAATTAACACATAACTAATCCCATTTTTGAACAATTGATGTTTAAAATTAAATAGAGTTAAAATTAAGTTTAAAGCAGCCACTCAATGAGAACTAAGATTCCAATAAAGTTGCAGAATATTGGAATGCAGATTTATCTTTGCATTTTCTGATTCATTGAGACTTTGATATTTTCATACGAGTTGAATTAAATTAATATTTCTGGCCAGGTGCTTTCTAGCTTCAAAATCGCGGGACCACTCTCTTAATTTTTAATATTTCATATCATCGGATTAAGCGCCGATTTAGTTCTACCTTTATTCATATATTTGGTAGGTACCTCTCTCGATCAAAAGATATATGAAGTTAATGGTGGTCCCGCCATTTTGACGTCAAAACTCGAAACTGCTAATCGGAGTGGAAATTCACTAAGACAGATATTTAGTACCTTGAATCTTTTCTAAATCTCTCATTTGCTTCTCATTATATACCTCGCTACAAACTTAAATCACTCGTTCTGTCATCATGAAGTTTTTGTAATGTTCTAAGTACCTACTTAAATCTACTACTTTACCTACTTAAACTTTTATACGATTTACGTATAAAAGTTTACAACTTCTCATTTTTTATTGTATGTGCATTTAGTACCTAATCAGATCCAATTAAAAGGCTCAATCTTTTAACGATAGTCTTTTAATTTGAATTCATAAAAAATATTTATAAAGTTATGATAGAACAAAAGAATAATATAGCTTTCCGCATTAATTTGAGGAAAAAGGCTGTAATTGATCAACCTTAAAATAATTTTGAATTGCATGAGAAACTTTACCAGCTAATTTCAGACGCCAATATAGATTACATTTCCGCAAAAAAAACGGAAATTGTTTTTTCTTTTTTGGGATAATGTCACCACGTTAACTCACTATATCTGCAATTATGAAACATTAACAATTTTAATTATTATGAATTTATTCAAGTAGAACTACTTTTAGGAACTACGTACTTTAAACGGATAATAATTCCATTATATGCATGTTA